CTCCATCTTCTTCTTTCTGCTTCCTCCTCCTTCTCTCTTCCTCCTTCTCTCTTCCTCCTTCTCTCTTCCTCCTTCTCTCTTCCTCCTTCTCTCTTCCTCCTTCTCTCTTCCTCCTTCTTCTCTCTTCCTCCTTCTCTCTTCCTCCTTCCTCTCTTCCTCCTTCTCTCTTCCTCCTTCTCTCTTCCTCCTTCTTCTTCTCCTCATTTTTTTTCCAACTTTACCGATCAAAAAAAAGTGCCAAAATCCTGAAAAATGGCCGACCAATTAACCCACTAATGGTGCGAAATTCGGGCCGTTTTTTTTTTTTTTTTTTGTCTGAAATATCGGCCGAATTTCGACCCGTCTATGGCCTGCATAAGTTGCCCATACTGACCAATCTGGAATGTTTATTTTGCCAATCCCTGTATTAACCCTCTTTGTGATGTGAGATGCGTGTGCATGTGCGTCTGACACGTTCATACATTGGGGGTGGATCAGAAATGTAACCTATTATAAGGTAGGTTTTGGTGTCTTACTGTTGCAGCTTTGTTAGTTGGGAACAATGCCTTGTGTGGGTGTCAGTCTCCTGGCTTTCTGTAAACCTGCTCTAATCACTGTTATTACCATATCCTGCGTATGTTTTCACGTCGGCAAAGCTGGATTTTTAAGTTTGTGGTGGCAGTTTTTAAATCTGCGTTCCTGTCGGGGAAAATTGCCATGATTCAATCAGCGATATCCTTGTAGCATCTGTCTTCTCCGTGTTTTCTTCCCTTTTTAAATATGAAGCTGTCATATCTACAGGATCATTTCAGTATTTGTCAAATGTTCACATTAGAGGTATCTGCCGTGTGCTGGATTACACGGCCATTACAGATGTGCATTGTGGACTTTTATGTCATTGGTTTGATATTAGATGATACATCCTGATGCTCAGCACTTCTTTACCAAGTGGACAGTGTGTATTGGTATAACCCCATGTAGACGGGCCACTGGCATGTAGCTAGAGAAATGGATCTGGGAAGTATAAAAAAACAAAAAAAACGATTTTTTTTTCCCAGATCCATTTCTCCTGCTTCTAGATGTACAATACTTGCTTTTACAGTGAGGAACAGAAGTATTTGAACACCCTGCGATTTTGCAAGTTCTCCCACTTAGAAATCATGGAGGGGTCTGAAATTCACATTGTAGGTGCATTCCCACTCTGAGAGACAGAATTTAAAAAAAAATTCAGGAAATCACATTGTATGATTTTTAAAGAATGTATTTGTCTTGCACTGCTGAACATAAGTATTTGAACATCTAAGAAACAGCAAGAATTCTGACTCTCAAAGACCTGTTACTGTGCCTTTTAAAAAGTCCACCTCTACTCCACTCATTAATCTAACTTAGTAGCACCTGTCTGAGCTCTTTAAAGACACCTGTCCACCCCACAGTCAGTCAGACGCCAACTACTACCATGGACAAGACCAAAGAGCTGTCAAAAGACACCAGAGAAAAAATGGTGGACCTCCACAAGGCTGGAAAGGGCTACGGAGCAATTGCCAAGCAGCTTGGTGAAAATAGATCAACTGTTGGAGCAATTGTTAGAAAATGGAAGAGGCTAAAGACAAACAGTTTCCATTGTATCTCATTTCCATCTCTTTAATGTCTTGGTGGAATCGTTCACCTTGTTCCTCACAGCTCCCAAATTTTCAATAAAGTAGTCAAGGTGGAACTGGAGGAAATGCACTTTCAAACTCATCAGGCAACCTAACGCTTGAAATGCTTTAGGATGCTTGAAGGATCTTTGTTATTGCCTAAAAATTTCCGTACGACTTCTTTAAATGCATCCACCCTTCTTTGTGAGGATCCTTCATGGTATTGACAAACTCTTGATCAACTATAAGCCTTCTAATGTCTGGTCCGACGAACACACCTTCCTTCAATTTTGCCTCCGACAGGCCTGGAAACTTGGTGACCAAGTATTTGAAGCATTCTCCATCTCTTGGAAGTGATTTTACGAATTGCTTCATCAATCCCAATTTTATGTGGAGAGGTGGCAGAAGAACTTTATGGGATGGTACCAGAGTTTCTCGGAGGACATTTTTTTCACCGACTGTTAGCACCCTCGACTTTTAGCACCCTCGGCTGCCAACTCATCTTGGTCCAGTGATTTTGTCGGTCGACTGTCCCATAGACACAGAAAACAAGGGTATTTGGTATCCACCCACTGGATTCTTCAGGAAAGATTAACCCCTTCTACCATTAGAAGCACAGACTCAGGGCTGAGGCTTACACATACAACATGCTGCTGAGTATCCTAGTAGTCAGACATGTCACTCAGAGCAGCACTTGTATTCACCCCCTTTGCAGGGGGGGAGGGGCAGAGATTGTTTACCTGAAAATAACAACAAAGGGCCAGAAGAGAACTAGAGAAATGAGGAAATAGAATTTTATTTCCCCTAAAACTTGCTTAGCTTATGTATATATTGCTGACCATCAGATTTACAGTGCTATATTTTTTTTTTACATAACTCAGACAACCCCTTTTTTAAGGTTTTTTTTTTTTTTTGGCATTTTATATCTTAAAATGCACTTATGTGAATTAATAGCAATTTGGACTTTAAATTTGGTTAAAAACCCATAATATAAAAAAAACAAAAAAAATTAAAAAAATTTGCTAAATTTGAAGACAATTTTGCATTTTGTGGCAAATCATGACATCTAGGAGTTTTTTCAATATTTTATTTTGTTTTCAGCACACCAAAATACATGGGAATTAGATGAAAATAATCAAACAGCTTTTTAGTCGCAGACCTGCGTAATCATCAGGGCACTGATGATCAGTGCCGCCTGTCAGTGCAGCATCATCATCAATGCCCACCAGTGCAGCCTATCAGTGCTGCCTATCCGTGCCACCTCATCAGTGCTGCCTATCAGTGCCCATCAGTGCAGCCTCATCAATGCACATCAGTGAAGGAAAAAAATTTCCTGTTTGCAAAATTTTATAATAGAAACAGACTTTTTTTGTCAAATATTTTGCTTTTTTTTTTTTGTTTATAGTGCAAAAAAAAACACCCGGTGGCGATTAAATACCACCAAAAGAAAGCTATATTTGTGTGAAAAAAATGTGAATTTTATATGGGTACAATGTTTCATGACCGTGCAAGTGTGAGGGCGCTGAAAGCTGAAAATTGTCCTGGGCACGAAAGGGGTAAAAGTGGTTAATGCTGAATGTTAAGGTGTGAATTCAGTCATTGCTAAGGCCTCATGTACACAAACACTTAGCAGCTTCTAGGTGCTAAGGCAGTGGTCTCCAAACATGCGCCCTGGGGCCAGATGTGGCCCTTTGCCTACCTCTGTCCAGCCCTTGGGACACTATTCCATCCACACCTGACACCAATGAAGGGGCGCCATTCCACCCACTGACACCAATGAAGGGTCGCCATTCCACCCACTGACACCAATGAAGGGTCGCCATTCCACCCACTGACACCAATGAAGGGTCGCCATTCCACTCACTGACACCAATGAAGGGTCGCCATTGCTCCCACTGACACCAATGAAGGGTCGCCATTGCTCCCACAGACACCAATGAAGGGTCGCCATTGCTCCCACAGACACCAATGAAGGGTCGCCATTGCTCCCCACAGACACCAATGAAGGGTCGCCATTGCTCCCACAGACACCAATGAAGGGTCGCCATTGCTCCCACAGACACCAATGAAGGGTCGCCATTGCTCCCACAGACACCAATGAAGGGTCGCCATTGCTCCCACAGACACCAATGAAGGGTCGCCATTGCTCCCACAGACACCAATGAAGGGGTCGCCATTGCTCCCAATGAAGGGGTCGCCATTGCTCCCAATGAAGGGGGCGCCATTGCTCCCAATGAAGGGGGCGCCATTGCTCCCAATGAAGGGGGCGCCATTCCTCCCACAGACACTGATAGGGTGCCATACCTCCCACAGACACTGATAGGGTGCCATACCTCCCACAGACACTGATAGGGTGCCATACCTCCCACAGACACTGATAGGGTGCCATACCTCCCACAGACACTGATAGGGTGCCATACCTCCCACAGACACTGATAGGGTGCCATACCTCCCACAGACACTTATGAACCTCTGCGCTCTGCATACAATGCCATCTCCTGACATCTGTGTACACTGCCATCTCCTGACATCTGTGTACACTGCCATCTCCTGACATCTGTGTACACTGCCATCTCCTGACATCTGTGTACACTGCCATTCCTGGCCCCTGCACTCTTTGTACAGAATGTTTACACTACACTACACACCATTCTTAACAAAAGTGGACACAGCCCACATTACTGTCCTTATGCTGACTTGTTTTGTTGGGGGGGGGGGGGCAAGGGAGGGGGTGCCAGGTCTGTTAGGGATGGCGCACCAGGCAGCACAGTCAGAATCTGGTATCTATCGGGCTACATATTTTGGCATTCTGCACAGCTGCTATACCAAGAAATTGAGACTGTACATTGTCTGTCTTTCTGTATCTGTTACTTCGACTGGGTTTAAAATTCCTTTTCCCCAAACTACTGTTGCATATCCTCCTCCATATTGTATCTAGCTTTTCTCCTGCCTCTTAGATTCAAGTTTTGTCCAGATATCTTATGTGTTGGTATTGTAACGGTTTCTGTGCCATCTGTATTGTATAGCCCCTATTTGTTAGGAACATTCATGTATTGGCACCTTTACGAGGACAGCACATAGCACCCAGGCTTCTTGCCTAGACCGTCTCCTGACCTTTGCAGGCAGTTACCTCCTCCTATACTATTGTGTTTCATTTATTATGTTTTTTTTCTTCTTCTGCCATACATATTTCTGTTGCTGGATCTATAATCAGGATTACAGCAAGGCATTAGCTACATAGGGTTTAGCTTGAGCTGACTTTGCAATGCACTGCAAATCCTCACTTCATAATGTCTCAGTTATATGAATTCTACTAGTAAAATTTGTTATGTGATGGATGTACAGAATTGTAAATGCTTTTTTTTGTTTTTGCCTATTTGTTTGCAGGTACATTCGGCTTTATGGCAGAAAATTTAGTAAAGAAGACCATGTGCTCTTCGTTAAGTTGTTGTACGAGTTGGTGACAATTCCAAAACTGGAGATCAGTATGATGCAGGGGTTTGCACGCTTGTTGGTGAGCCTTTTAAAGTAAGTTGCATGTGTCCTTTTTTTTTTTTTTTTTTTTTCTTCTTCTTTCTTTGTGGCTACAAACAAAAATGTGTACTTAACCAAGGGCTCACCCATCCTCTGGAACTCCCTACCCCAAGCTATCAGGCTATAGCCTACTCTGCTCACTTTTAGGCGCACTCTGAAAACCCATCTCTTCCGGGAAGTCTACTCCGACCCCAGCTAATACTGGAATCCCCTACTCCTCCTACCACTCCATCCCACTATAATGTAAAGCGCTGAGCAAACTGTTGGCGCTATATAAGTCCTGTATAATAATAATAATAAAAAAAAAAAATAACCATAAAACCTTATAAACCCCAATCCTGAGAAGCATATAATATGGTTCCCTAACATGACTATAAAGCATGAGATTGTGATTGAATGTGTGCAATCTCTTCCTCCTCTTCCTCCTCTTCCTCCTCTTCTCCTCCTCCTCTTCCTCCTCTTCTTCCTCTCTTCCTCCTCCTCTTCCTCCTCTCTCCTCCTCTTCTTCCTCTTCTTCCTCTTCTTCCTTCTTCTTCCTCTTCCTCCCTTATTCTTCCTCCTCTTCCTCTCCTCTTCTCCTCCTCCTCTTCTTCCTCCTCCTTCCTCCTCCTCTTCCTCCTCTTCTTCTTCCTCCTCCTCTTCTTCTTCCTCCTTCTTCTTCCTCCTTCTTCTTCTTCCTCCTCCTTCTTCTTCTTCCTCCTTCTTCTTCTTCCTCCTTCTTCTTCTTCCTCCTTCTTCCTCTTCTTCCTTCCTTCTTCTTCCTTCCTTCTTCTTCCTCCTTCTTCTTCTTCTTCCTTCCTTCTTCCTCTTCTTCCTCTTCCTCCTTCTTCTTCCTCCTTCTTCTTCTCCTCCTTCTTCTTCTTCCTCTCTTCTCCTTTCCTCTCTAAATAAATCCAGCTTAGTCTACAAACCATTTCCTTGTCATGGTCTTCTGGCCAGGGGCAACACCTGAGATCTGAGGATTCCTATTGACATATCAATCATTGCTTGATCCTGTGGAAATGATAGAATATGCAATAGTCATATAATGTATATCTGTATTTTGAGCCACTGCCTGCTCCTCCCTGAACCCACTTTTTTTCTGCTAGCACGTTTGCTTTCAGGTAATCAAGTTTACCATATATTAAAGTGCTAGTAAACTCTCCTTTATTCATTTTACCCTCAGGTAAGCTTCATCATACGCTTACCTGAAGGTAAAATTAATATTTCCTAAACATGTACCGTTTAGGAGATATTAGCCCCTTTTGATAGCCGGTGCATGCACTCTGAAGGAATGGCATACCTGTGCCGTTCCGTCCTTCAGAGCACTGTGCCATGTTCTGGGACTCCCACGCACATGTTCGAGAGTGACGTCATCGCTGCTCGGCCAGTTAGACGGCCAGAGCTTGTGAAGATGGAAGCCCTGGGGAGCTGTGACAGTGCTCCGCTGGAGAGCTTTGTTTCAAGGTAAGTCCTTCATAATGTGCTAGTATGAAATGCATACTATCACATTGTCTTTACCTTTTTTAAATTTTTTTTCTTTTTTGGATGCGGTTTACTACTGCTTTAATATGGAGCCCCAGGCAAAGAAATCCCTAGTGTTCAAAATGCCATCCATTTAACAGAAAATTGCTAATAAGATTTTGTAACAGTGGGCAGGCGCTGCCACTGTGTGAAAATGGGTGTTGAAAGGACACAGGGTTCACATAAAAAATATAAAGTGCGGGGCTGAAATATCCGTTTTGAGCCGAGAAAACCGTTTTGTCAGCTTTCTCCGGCTTTTTGGTATTCCTGAATTGGAATATCCAGAATTTGCAGATTTTGAAGTGCTTTGTGAGTGAAGAAATCTCCACCCAGTGTCCAGGTCTTGCTGAAGAGCAGCAGGGGGTGTGTGTCCAGGTGCACCCAGTCCTTATAATGAAGGACTTGGGCATAGCTGAGGGCTTCCCTCAGGAGACAGTATGTGCTCCATCCAGGAGGCAGGAATACTCCAGTCGGGACAGGTGTGTGCTCCATCCAGGAGGCAGGAATACTCCAGTCCGGTGGACAGGTGTGTGCTCCATCCAGGAGGGAGGAATACTCCAGTCCGGGGACAGGTGTGCTCTCCATCCAGGAGGCAGGAATACTCCAGTCGGGACAGGTGTGTGCTCCATCCAGGAGGCAGGAATACTCCAGTCCGGTGACAGGTGTGTGCTCCATCCAGGAGGCAGGAATACTCCAGTCCGGGGACAGGTGTGCTCTCCATCCAGGAGGCAGGAATACTCCAGTCGGGGACAGGTGTGTGTGCTCCATCCAGGAGGCAGGAATACTCCAGTCCGGGACAGGTGTGCTCTCCATCCAGGAGGCAGGAATACTCCAGTCGGGACAGGTGTGCTGCTCCATCCAGGAGGCAGGAATACTCCAGTCCGGGACAGGTGCGTGCTCTCCATCCAGGAGGCAGGAATACTCCAGTCGGGGACAGGTGTGTGCTCCATCCAGGAGGCAGGAATACTCCAGTCCGGGGACAGGTGTGCTCTCCATCCAGGAGGCAGGAATACTCCAGTCGGGACAGGTGTGCTCTCCATCCAGGAGGCAGGAATACTCCAGTCCGTGGACAGGTGCGTGCTCCATCCAGAAGGCAGGAATACTCCAGTCCGGGGACAGGTGTGTGCTCCATCCAGGAGGCAGGAATACTCCAGTCCGGGGACAGGTGTGCTCTCCATCCAGGAGGCAGGAATACTCCAGTCCGGAGACAGGTGTGTGCTCCATCCAGGAGGCAGGAATACTCCAGTCCGGGGACAGGTGTTCTCTCCATCCAGGAGGCAAGAATACTCCAGTCCGGGAACAGGTGTGTGTGCTCCATCCAGGAGGCAAGAATACTCCAGTCCGGGAACAGGTGTGTGTGCTCCATCCAGGAGGCAGGAATACTCCAGTCGAGACAAGTGTGTGCTCCATCCAGGAGGCAGGAATACTCCAGTCCGGGGACAGGTGTGTGCTCCATCCAGGAGGCAGGAATACTCCAGTCCGGGACAGGTGTGTGCTCCATCCAGGAGGCAGGAATACTCCAGTCCGGGGACAGGTGTGTGCTCCATCCAGGAGGCAGGAATTCTCCAGTTGGGACAGGTGTGTGCTCCATCCAGGAGGCAGGAATACTCCAGTCCGGGGACAGGTGTGTGCTCCTTCCAGGAGGCAGGAATACTCTAGTCCGGGGACAGGTGTGTGCTCCATCCAGATGGCAGGAATACTCCAGTCCAGGGACAAGTGTGGGCTGGATGAGAGCAATCCCTTACCCACATGACTGAGAGGGTCAAAGCATCTAAGTGAGCCCAGGAGGCTGGAGATGCTGGGATGATAAGGTGAGTCCAGGGGACTGCGGGAATCTGTAGTTCTTGGAGGGGTGAGAGAGCCCAGGGTGCCATGGTCCTTCTCTCACCTCATGGGTGTTCTCTCATAAACAGGGCACCCTCTCCCTAATGGAAGATTAGGTCCTAGACCCTAAACACGACAAACTGAATCATAACACTCCCGCACTTGGAAGAGACTCAAATCATACCCCCGCTGCCAAAATGTCCTCTGTACTTACGGACTTTGACATGATTGATGTCTGGAGACATTTAAACCCTAGGATAAGCGATTACTCCTACTATTTTGCCCCTCTTGACTGATTCTCATAAATCTGTAATTTCTTCGTGAACCCCCTGTTTCTCCCATCTTTCACTAAGGCTATGATTATATCAGTATCGTGGTCCAACCATTCACCTTTGCCTATTCAGTGCATGTCTCAAACCCCCCTGCCCTCCTTCCTTTTTTTTGGAGTCTTAATGATACATTACTCTCCCATGCCACCACAACTGATTGTATAGATAATTAACTCAAATCTTATTTCAGCCTTAATGCCGGCTCAGCCTCCTCCCCGGGAAGCCCACAAAGTCACTATACGGGGGACCATTATCTAAATTACTTCCTGTATTGAGAAAGACAAGGAATCAAATTTCCATGCCAACCTCTTAGCTGGCTCGCTTTGGAGTCTGACTGGAAGAAACATCTCTCAACCGCCCTTCATAAACAAGTAACCTCCACTAAAGTGGAATTAAATTTTCTGCTCAATGACCAGGCAGAACTACAAATAAGATGGGCAAAGAGGAACTTTTATGCCAACGCTAATAACCTGGGCTCCCTGCTTGCCAACCTCCTCAACGCATGATCCCTACTCTGAATTATTATTATTATACAGGATTTATATAGCGCAGGTGCGGACTGACAACTCATGGGGCCCCCGGGCAACAGGATCATGGGGCCCCTGTGTCCTTGCCCAAACCCAAAAAAAGCCTATGAAAAGGTACCAGGGGAATCTCATGGGGCCCCCTACTGACCCCTGGGCCCTCGAGCAGTGCCCGAGTTTCCAAATGGTCAGTCCGCCCCTGATATATCGCCAACAGTTTGTACAGCGCTTTACATCGTGAAGGCAGACCGTACAATTACAATACAATTTAATACAGTAGGAAACAGAGGGTCCTGCTCAGTAGAGCTTACAATGTAAAATAAAGCAGAATAAACATAAATGTGTTCTGTTTAGGAGATCAGCTCATTTACATATTGACATCTGTCTGTCTCCGCTTCAGAAACTGAGACAAATTTCTTCCTAGCGATCCCCAGGAGTCAGGCAACGTCACCGTGTAATGGATGGCCTCAGGCGCCGCTCTGGTCACGCCATCTGATGTGTTTTGCCCCGCCTATAGGGCACTTGGTCACAGAGTGTGACCAAGCCCCCTATTGGAGGGACGAAATGCGTCAGCGGGCATCCATCACACGGCATCGTTGCCTGACTCGTAGGGATCGGTTTCAGCGGCGTACACCCCCCTCACGTGAACACTACGAAGTTTCTGGAGTAACTCAGGACGCTGCTCCCTTCTCTTTTCTCTGCCGGCAGGGTGACTATAATCCACAATTATCCTTGAGCGGCGCCAGAAGCTCTCAAACAATTCCCACAAATTTCTTCCTAGTTAGAGATCTAAACATGTCTGCCAATGGAAACCCCAGATGTTGTTTGGATTAGAGTTCCTCTGTAAAGTACACTTGTCATGAGAATATAAGGGTGATATTGCTGGCCTTCAGAAAATGCTGGTTGGTTGGCCGTGTTTAGCTTCTTTTGAGCACAGATCTGAAACAAGCGTGCAACAAGGTCTCCATATATTTTTAGTATTTTAGAATGAGCTGAAGTTAAAGCATGACAGTCAGATGACTATCATTCTTAAACATGGAGGTCAGCAGTGGCAGCCTACATAATTCTCTTGTGGCAGTTACACTTTTAGTAATTTTGTTTTCTCATTATACATGTCTGAATGTGTAATATTGTGCTGAGTATTTAGTGATGGTTTATGACACAGCTAGTACCATGTGGTTTTGACATGTACCTTCCTAGTGGAGATGTTACTATACTATGGTTCTATTGCCCTTTTAAAATGGTTGTAAACCTCCAGAGGTGACGTATGAACAAAGCATATCCCTCTATTTGTTTCCATCCAGAGCACTAAGTGTCATTCCTGTCTGCTGCTTCTTTTCTCTGCTATCTGTATGAGTCACTTCTGACAAGTTTTCCTGATACCAAGAGAAAAATGGTGACAGGAGGGTACAGTCTGTGATTGACAGCCTCTGCTCTGTTCCTTTGAGCTGTGTGAAGGCAAGTTTGTATGTTCCCTCCAATCAGGACTCAGAGCTCCCCACACTGAGCTCTGTAGCGTGTAATTTCAGCTTTCTGCCCCTGTTTTCTGAAATCTTAGACAACCTTTATAAATTCTGCACTGTATGTGTGGATGTAGAGAAGACTGCTGATAAACAGGTACAACTTATGTAGGAGGATTTGTTTAATCTCTGTGTATCACCTGAGGCCAGCCAACTTCAGTGGGTATATGTGAGGATTTACAACCACTTTAAGGCTCCATTCATATTAGCACGTCTGCCATTACCATGACTTCCAGTGTGACTTTGCAATTTTTTGTGTGCCTTTATTATGACTTTACTCTGGATTAAATGGGACATCAAAAGTCACACCAAAGTAGTGCAGTCACTTCCGAAATCACTGTACCTTTAGGTTGCACAGATTTGAACGGGTGCCATTGAAAAGAATGGGCTGCAACTTGTCATGCAACTTTGATGTGCAGAGTCGCATGACAAGTCGCAGAAGTGTGAATGGAGCCTAAATAAAAGGGGGCCAACAGGCCCTTAAACCGTATATCTGGATTAGACTAAATTCACTGGTGAGCACTACACTTGAGCTAATATCCCCCTAACATCACAGTATGTATTTCATTGTTTTCCTGGAGTTGCACCTAACAAGTGCTTGTACAGTACTGCTGGAGAATAGATAGAGAAGTCAGAGCTTCCTGGGTCAGATCGCTGCTGTAATAAAATGTCTCTTCTGAGATCTGCGCTTTTCATACCGTTTGCTGGGTAATGGTTACAAAGTTACATGGTTAGTCGTATTAAAAAGACACTAGTCCATCTAGTTCATCAATAAAAAAAAAAAACAACTAATAGAACATAGTAATAGAATAGTGAGGGGCTTGAAATTATAATTTCAACTCAACTTTAGGGGAAAAAAAAGGTAAAAGATGGCGCCAGTCTTCAATTTATTGCAGAAAAATGATACATCGGGAAGTCATTTTGGGAACTAAGAACAGCTAAACATAACAGTGATTCCAATATTTTGTAGATATTATTCTTAAATATATTTTTGTTCTGCCAAATGCTATCAATAAATTGATATTTTGTTCTTTCCTTTTGACCAAATACAGAAAGAAAGAGCTCCTTTCAAGAGAAGACTTGCAGTTACCCTGGAGACCATTGTATGAAATGCTGGAGAGAATATTGTACTCTAAAACAGAACACCTTGGTCTTAATTGGTTTCCTAAGTAAGTGAATAAAGTCGTGCTTAGTTCTTGCGTTGACTGTCTCGATCTGGTTCTATTAAATTGATTCTGTAGACTGTAGTTATCTTAATGTGACAAATGTATGTGCTGTGAGGTTACTAGCATAGAATGTGACTGTTCATTTGCTTGGATTGGCAGGTTCTCTGCTTTCTGTGACTTTTAACATTCCCTTGTTCTGCGTTCATTAGTAATAAAAAACTTCAAACCTGTCACTTGTGCCATGAAAATGACTGACAGAAGTGCTGGGCTGTCTTAATGCATGGGCACCCCTGGACACTGCCCAGGGGCCTCAGGTGCATGGGGGCCCCATGGTAATTTTGCAATACTTCATACTTGTCAACTGTCCCGGATTTGCCGGGACAGTCGCACCTTTAACAAAGCTATCCCGGAACGGCCGTGTCCCGAGCAGGATCCCAGAACCTGTACAGTGCCCTGCGAAGTGTCTCTGTTGCCCACAACAAACCATGAAATTCAGATTTGTTTTTTTTTTCACCTAGTAGTTAAAAGGCAAGATCATTGCTGTATTTTTCTGCCTCACTGTATTGTCCTCCAGGAGCTCCTGAAATTTCTCCTTACCCCCTCACTTTTGTTTGTTTGGAACAAGCAATGCAGTCATATACACTGCTCTGTGCACACCTCAAATCCCAAAGTCCATCTCAGCAAGAGAGGATCCTTCGTGAGTTCCCTAAACCTCTCCTTACCCCCTTACCTCTGTTAGTTTGGAACGGGTCTCCAAACTATGGCCTTCCAGCTGTTGTAAGTACTACAAGTCCCATCATGCCTATGCCTCTGGAAGTCTTGCCTGTGGCTGTCAGAGTCTTGCAAGGCCTCATGGGACTAGCAGTTCCTCAACACCTGGTAGGCTATAGTTTGGATTCCCTGGTTTGGAACAAGCAGTACACATTCGTTGCAGTCATATGCACTGCTCTATTCACACTACTCCTCCCATAGTCCATCTCAGTAAGAGAGGATGACTACATTTCTATATACCATGGGACCATGGAGAGCAAACATCCAACCACAGCCAACAGTCAGATCACAGAAGCCAAAAAAAAAAAAATGGAGGAGGCTGATTTTAATTAAAGAGTTTCAGTGAAGTTTAACCACTTGCCTACCGGGCGCTTTCACCCTCTTCCTGCCCAGGCCAAATTTAAGCTTTCAGTGCTGTTGCACTTTGAATGACGCGGTCATGCAACACTGTAACCAGATGAATTTTTTATAATTTTTTTCACACAAATAGAGCTTTCTTTTGGTGGTATTTAATCACCACTGGGTTTTTAATTTTTTGCTAAACAAACAAAAAACGACTGAAAATTTAGGAAAAAAGTTTCTGTTCTAAAAATTTTTAAAGTAATTTTTCTCCTTCATACAAAGGCAAGTTGAACTGGTCACTGCAATTTTTCTCCTTCACTGATGTGCGCTGATGAGGCGGCACTGACAGGCATGACTGATGGGCACTGACAGGTAGCACTTATAGGTGGCAATGATAGGCAGCAATGAAGGGCACTGATGAGGAGGCACTGGCAGGCATGACTGATGGGCACTGATGGTAGCACTTATAGGTGGCAATGAAGGGCAATGAAGGGTGGCACTGATGGGAGGCACTGACAGATGGCACTGACAGGCATCACTGAAGGGCACTGATGGGCTGCATTGATGGGCACTGAGAGGCATCACTGATGGGGCTGCACTGATAATCGGGGCACTGTTTATCAGTGTAGATGTCTCCTTTGAAGATTGCCACTTATCGGCTCTCTTCTCCTTAAGCACTGTCAATGTTAGGAGAGGACTGCCGATAATCGACATTTGCTGTTTACATGTGATCAGCTGTAAGTGGACACAGCTGATCACATGGTAAAGAGCCTATGTCATCCGCTCTTTACCGTGATTGGTGATCCGCTCTGTTCATGGGACACAGAGCACCACTGATCACAGCGCCGCACTCCCCTGGGGCGCGAATGCACGGCTAGAGCAGAAGGACATCATATGATGTCCTCCCAGAACAAGAGAGGCGGTTAAATAGTTATTTTAGGCCAAGTTTGTCCAAGTGAACTATTTGCTTCACTAACGGATGCAGCGGCTGTGTGCTCTGTATAAAGTATACAGCTCTGTGTTCCAACAGCAGGATGGGAATTTCCTGTCCTGCTCCTGCAACAAAATCGGGCTGGGCAGAGTGTTGCTCAGCCATTCACGGGAAGCTTTGTATCTTCTGAATGAATACAAAGCTTCATTTGTTCAAATAAGAAAAGTGCAGTGCTAAAAATATAAGAAATAGTCCACATAGAATGAAAATATGTTAAATAAATGCCAACTAAACGGTATTAGTCTATAAGTGACAAATCTGTGCAGGTATATGGTGAATAGCAGCAATGCTTCACTGCTGGTGCTCCAGAATAGTGGGGTAAGAATACGCACTCACCAGATGCGTAATGTTAATACGCATTAAATCAATCAGTGGAGGTCCCCTTTAGGAATCGGATATGAGCCAGGCCAAGGATAATCCTGACTGGATCCTTTACCACCCGGGAGTTTCTGATGCACCACCACTATCCAGAGGGAGAATTATCCTTGGCCTGGCTCATATCTGATTCCTAAAGGGGATCTCCACTGATTGATTTAATGCGTATTAACATTACGCATCTGGTGAGTACGTATTCTTACCCCACTATTCTGAAGCACCAGCACTGAAGCATTGCTGCTATTCACCATATACATGCACAGATTGTCACTTATGTACTAATGCCGTTTTTAGTTGGCATTTATTTAACATATTTTCATTCTATGTGGACTATTTCTTATATTTTTAGCGCTGCACTTTTCTTATTTGATTATTATTGAGGTTTTATTATTGGTTACCTTTTAGTGCTACAGCTGCTACTTAGAGAGCGCTCACTTTCTTTTTACTTTACTACTAAAGCTTCATTTGTTGGCTGAGGTGGAGAAGCAAATGTTATCGTAATATCCACCTCCGCCAATCAGAGGAAGCTTTGTATTCATTTAAAAAATATAAAGCCCTCTGTGATTGGTTGAGCAGTGCTCAGCCTGACTCGATTTTATTCTGGGTGCAGGATGGGGAGTTCTCTCGCTGATAAAACACAGCACTATATACTGTATGTAGCTGATGTTCTATTCAGTGTATGCATTGCTGACAGCTGCTGCATCTGTTTGTGAAGAAAGTAGTATGTTTGCACCAGCTTGGTCCAAGAAAACTGTTTAGGCCTTATGTAGATAAGTTAGTGAGTGCACTCCAGTGAGCGGCAAATGCACTAAAAGGAACCACAAAACCTTTCCAACTGAAATTGACAAAATAAAAGTGCAGCGCTACAAACAATATCTTTATAGCAATTATGTTAAAATAACTCATGAGAAAAGATGATTGTCCAATGCAATAATATCAGATGTGGTAAGCAGTTCAATTATGAAAAAACTTCCAAAAACGTTGGTGTAATCCAATCCAATATCGAGGGGTAGATAGATTGCCCACTTACCAGAAGCGCAATCTCAATGCGCATGTACCGGTCACATGTAGCCGAGGTCTCATGCAGGCGCTGCTTGGTGGTGCCCAGGTGGTCCCTCAATGATAAGAAGATATTGGTCAGGTCGGATCACACGGCTCCTTGGATCCACGCAGAAGCCTAAAAAAGCTGGGGCTGAGGTATGAGGACTCGGTGCCAGTGAAAATCAAGGGTTGGCCACCGGACCTCCTGATCCAGCGGCATGATGTCAAGGCGTGCGAACGCTCCTCCTATAGGGCCTTGATTTTCACTGGCACTGAGTCCTCATACCTCAGCCCCAGCTTTTTTAGGCTTCTGCGTGGATCCAAGGAGCAGTGTGATCCGACCTGACCAATATCTTCTTATCATTGAGGGACCACCTGGGTACCACCAAGCAGCGCCTGCATGAGACCTCGGCTACATGTGACCTGTACATGCGCATTGAGATTGCGCTTCTGGTAAGTGGGCAATCTATCTACCCCTCCCCTCGATATTGGATTGGATTACACCAACGTTTTTGGAAGTTTTTTCATAATTGAACTGCTTACCACATCTGATATTATTGCATTGGACAATCATCTTTTCTCATGAGTTATTTTAACATAATTGCTATAAAGATATTGTTTGTAGCGCTGCACTTTTATTTTGTTTAGGCCTTATGCACACTGGACCTTTTTGCCTTCTTTCCTAGACGCCTTTCTTCCTGACAGCAGCATTTGTGGCCGACAAAAGGCTTGTAAATGGCTGTGACTCCCGCGCTCATGTGAGGGAGTGATGAGATCGCAGCTCGGCCAGTCACCCCCGGTTCACATCTATGCGGCCGTAGAGGCCACGTTTTGCGCAGGCACGAGAGCACATTCATTTGAATGGACTCTCGTGCCCTTGACACGCAGGGAAGAAGTCCTCTGCACTTCTCTGGAAAAATCAGCCCGCACGGGAACCTCGGTTCCCAGTACGGTTTTGTTTTCCAGTGCGGGCGGCGTGCCATTAAAACGAATGACACCCGCCCACGGGTCCACATTTCTCTGTGCGGGTGGTGCGGCTGCACGGATTTTCGTGCGGATCCACAGCGGCACCACCCACACAGATGTGAACCTAGGATCAAACAGCAGCAGCCAGCGAACTGAGAAGGAAGACCAGGTGAAGATGGAAGCCTCTGCAGAGGTGACAGCGTGCCGCTGGAGGGCTTCGTCTTCAGGTAAGTCGTTCATAATTTTCTAGTAAGTCATGCATACTAGCTCATTATGCCTTTACCTTGTAGGGAGAAAGTGTGGTTTTTGGTGGGGTTTTTTTTTTTTGGTTTTTTTTAGCTTCAGAGTTTACTATTGCTTTAAGAGGTCTGTTTTCTTCTCTCCAGTTCTAATTTAGGGTATAGGAGGAAAGACATTATGAATCAAGCTGAAACCTCGTCTCAAAATCTTTCTCACTTCTCCTATTTGGCGTTCTGCGTGACTTTGATAAATGTCCTTCAGTCTATTTTCAGCAAGC